TACGTTCTGGATTGTAATCATAAGTTTATCAGTACGTAGCTCAACCTTGATGTTCTGGATTGTAATCATAAGTTTATCAGTACGTAGCTCAACCTTGATGTTCTGAATGGTAATCATTAGTTTATCAGTACGTAGCTCAACCTTGATGTCCTGAATGGTAATCATTAGTTTATCAGTACGTAGCTCAACCTTGATGTTCTGGATTGTAATTACTTAAAAAATATTATTTTACCTTATTTCTAGTTCAAGATGATGTTAAATAAGGAACTCAGACATTTCTCAGAATCTAACTCAGGAAGTCAGATCTCAGATTACATCTTCAGTACATTTTTGGGTAAGTTTACAGAACACGTGTGTACAGAATGGTTATTCAGTCCTAACTTGATGAAAAATTTTCATTTAGAAAATTATATCTTTTTCTCATCTGTCACAATATATTACTGTTTATTCTGGCAAAAGTTACTAAAATGTTTCAGGGATTGGATTATCTAGAAAGATTATTTGTCATACTACATTATCAGCAAATCTGGAGGAACAATTGGCATAATAATCTGAAGAAATTATTTACCAAACTATATTATAAAAGTTTTATTTAATTCTTGGATAATTCTGGAAGGATCAAATGTAGTGATTGTTTTATTCAGAAGTATACGTAATGCTTTTTTCAGTTTGGAGCAGTTGTTTTCTTATAACTTGTTCACTTGATTAACATTTATCAGTATCTAGTTATCCAGTAAAGTAGATTAATTAAACTACATTCTTTTAGTGCTCCAAAAATGTGTCAGAGATCATGATTTTATAATTACCAACATTTATGTGTGTTTACCACAATGGTACATCTGACTTGCACTGTTCGTACATCTTTATAAGCAGGACTGTATTACTGTCAGACATTAGTTTGTCCTCCTCTACAGAAATGATTACTGACAGACATCACTTTTTTTCTCTTCTACTGAGATGATAACTGATTGTATTACTGTCCGACATCAGTTTGTCCTCCTCTACAGAGATGATGACTGTATTACTGACAGACATCACTTTCTTTCTCCTCTACAGAGATAACTGACTGTATTACTGACAGACATCAGTTTGTCCTCCTCTACAGAGGTGATAACTGACTGTAATACTGTCAGACATCTCTTTGTTCTTCTCTACAGAGATGATAACTGACTGTATTACTGTCAGACATCAGTTTGTCCTCCTCTACAGAGGTGATAACTGACTGTATTAGTGTCAGATATCTCTTTGTCCTTCTCTACAGAGATGATAACTGACTGTATTACTGACAGACATCAGTTTGTCCTCCTCTACAGAGGTGATAACTGACTGTATTACTGTCAGACATCTCTTTGTTCGTCTCTACAGAGATGATAACTGACTGTATTACTGTCAGACATCAGTTTGTCCTCCTCTACAGAGGTGATAACTGACTGTATTACTGTCAGATATCTTTTTTCTTCTTTACAGAGATGATAACTGAGTTTTGTAATTGTGTATAAATAATAAACCTAAAGATTTTGGACCTGAATTAGATAAGCAGCAAGATCTGGATATTCCAACAAAGCTGATTGAGAATGAACATCAGAATCACAAACCTCAACATAAGGCTGGCCAGGCAATCTTTCAAATCTCTGGAGTTAAGAAGTCATTGTGCCAGACAAGCAGCATTACAAGGCTGCCGAATTATGGAGTAAACACGCCACACGAAGAAGAACTAGGAAAGGTAAAGCAGATACAGTTATAAAACGTTTCTTATAGATTAAGAAATGTATAACTATGTGGTCATATTAGTTAGTATAGTAAGTAAAGCCACAAAAATGTGTAGATTAACAAGGTTACAGATATGGGCAAGTTAAAAATAGTTTGGCCTGGTTGAGAACAATTGTTTTGTTTTCTTAATATAATGTGTCTTTAAATGTCTCTATGCAAATTATTATTTTCTTAAAGTCTACTGTGTCTCAGTTAACCATATTTATAATCATGAATATCATGTTGTAGATTTGAAGTTGTTGTAAAATACTTTTTAAAACATACGTATATTAATTCTATCTGTTTGCTTTCACAGCTTCTTGAAAATATAGATAAGTGGGGAGTTGACATTTTCAGGATTGCAGAATGCTCTTCTTACCGGCCACTTACAGCAGTGACGTACACGATTTTTAAAGTGAGTTCTCATTATAAACTGTTCATTGGCATTCCTAACATCGGGTGTCCTCACTAACACCACAACATATTCCTGATTTTTAATAGGTAGGATTACAGAATTTAGAAACCAGATTTTGTTTTCAATAATTTGGTTTATTTTTTATAGCATTGAGTGAATGGTATTACGTTTTCTCCAACACGTATTCCACTTCGTCTTTATACAGTCTGTGTTTTATGTATAGTTTTCACTGTAATTTTTATCACAGTTATAACATAACTCATGAAAAGTAGTAACTATTCTTTGGAAGATTCAGCAGTAATTTTTTTAAGCAGCTTCATATCTGCATATTCGATTGCGATGTTTTTATGCAAAACCTTTATAATTAAGGAGATATATAAGTTTGAATGTTTTTATTGCTTAAGGACAGAGGTTTCTTGAACACTTTCAAGATCTCGGCAAAGACTTTGATCAACTTTCTTGTAACTCTGGAAGATCACTACCTCCAAATCCCTTATCATAACAGCATTCACGCAGCTGATGTAACCCAGTCAATCAATGTTCTCCTGCTCTCTCCTGCATTTCACGTAAGTACTGGTGCAACCATCCCGTATTTAAAAGTATAACTTCTTGTAAGTTGTAACCAATTCCCTTAGTTCTGTATAATGAATTACATTTATAAAACTAAACAACCTAGTGACTTACTATTGGGGAAAACCATGGAAAATGTGATTTGGAGTCTGCATTTATTAATTTTTCAAATGACTATGGACAATCATATGTCATTTAAATGTCCTTGTATCAAGATTTAAAACTGAACATTTTTTGGGATTTTCTTTTACTTGTAATTGTGAGAGAGTTTTAGGTTCTTTCATCAAAATATCAGAACTGAGTATGTTTCTTCAACAAAAATGTTATTAGATTGAGGAAAACCAAGACAACTGTACATGTCACGTCATGATGCCTTTATTGGTGAAACCCTGATTGTGAATAAATGATGTATTTCCTTAATTTGGTAATTAGTTTCATATAAAAAATCATGGTCAGAATTTTATTCTGTTCCATCTTATGTTTCTTATCCAATTGTACTTGTATTTATTTTATTGTTTTTTTCTAGTCAGTGTTTACAGACCTGGAAGTTCTTGCTGCATTGTTTGCTGCTGCTGTTCATGATGTGGATCATCCAGGACTGACGAATCAGTATCTGGTCAACACTTGTAAGTTCTTTGGAAGTTTGGTTTTTGTTGCTTGATCTTTTCTTTACCAATACAGTCTGGTCAACGCTTATAAGTTTTATTTATGTTGCTTAACCCTTTTTTGACCAATGCAACAAAGTTTATTTTCTTCTTTTAATATAATCTTTTCAGTTGTTGGTCAGTGTAGATGTGATAAGTTGAAGATTCTTTAACGTAAATATAAAGATAAATTAATACTTTTAGATTTTAGTACAGATTTCCATATTTTAAACTGTGCTAATCCTGACCTTAGGGCCTTTCACACATGACTCTAGGCTTAACAGAAATCTTGCACTTTCAACACCCAGCCATATGCTGGATAATTTGCTGAATTGATCTCAGCTGGATGTAAGGCTTGTTTGTTGTACATAGACATAGAGAAACTGGGAACTCTGGTTTCCCTTTTCTGTTTATGGATTTTGCCTGATGATGATGCATTCTGAACCTAAAGCAGTTTATTCATTAGATCACCTTAACATTTACTTTTATTGTTTAGGTGTACTCAGTGGGTTTGATTTTTAGTTTGTTAATCCAAAAAGAAAAGGAACAGGTTGCAGCTCTATTACTCAACCTTATAAATTCAACCAAATATTGATCATTTTGCTTAACTAGAAGTGTTTCATTTACCAGTATTACTATATAAATAAGTAAATTAACATGACTAACTAAGACTGTAACTACATTTATATAGTAATACTGGTAAATCAACATGACTAACTAAGACTGTAACTACATTCATACAGTAATACTGGTAAATCAAAATGAACAACTAAGACTGTAACTACATTCATACAGTAATAGTGGTAAATCAACATGACTAACTAAGACCGTAACTACATTTATATAGTAATAGTGGTAAATCAACATGACTAACTAAGACTGTAACTATATTTATATAGTAATACTGGTAAATCAACATGACTAACTACGACTGTAACTAACATTCATATAGTAATACTTCAACATGACTAACTAAGACTGTAACTTTTACCAGTGTTACTGTATGAATGTAGTTACAGTCTTAGTTAGTCATGTTGATTTACCAGTATTTCTATATAAATATAGTTACAGTCTTAGTTAGTCATGTTGATGTACCAGTATTACTATATAAATGTAGTTACAGTCGTAGTTAGTCATGTTGATTTACCAGTATTACTGTATGAATATAGTTACAGTCTTAGTTAGTCATGTTGATTTACCAGTATTACTGTATGAATCTAAAGTTTGAAGATGGCTTGTATGGTTAGTGAAAGAATCCTTAATATAAATATACAATATTTTAACAACCTTATGTCATCATCAGGTACAAGTAGTTTACACAGAGTACTATTAAATGAATCAAGTTACAGTAGTAGTCGATCATATTTGTTAACCTGTTTCTGTTCAGTCATGTTTACTTAACTTCTCTTTATCTATGGTGATGTAAACTATGTTGTCTTGCTAGCTTTATGGCCTGTGTTCGGACAAATATACAAAAATATTGTTTACGTTTTCCTTTCCAGTTTCTGAACTAGCAATGATGTACAACGATGAGTCTGTTTTGGAGAACCACTCCTTAGCAGTTACTTTCAAACTGTTGCAAGATGAAAACTGTAATATTTTAAATAATTTGAACAGGAAACAGCAACAGACATTTAGGAAGATTGCAATAGACATGGTAAGTAATATCTAAATGTATATTTTTCATTATTATCAATGAAATAAGTGTGTTATAATCATAATTTTTGTCAACATGCTATTATTCAAGGCTGTTATAATAGAGGGTTACCATGTTTTCATAGTGGTACATAAGTTTAAATATTGTTAAGTCTCTGTTTGTTTGTTAATTTCTGGTATAACTTCTTTCCAAGGAACTTCGGCGATACAAGTCCTTTCTTAATTAAAACTGTTTATTCTTTCTTGATACAAATTTTAGTAATACACAGAATTTCCACAGTCACTTTAAACTTAACAACCTTTATAACACATGCTATAATTCACAGTGGCTCACACACTTTATTTACTGTGCCTACTGTCCACTTGACTCAATTATCTCTATCTCTATATCTATCTATGCAATTCTATCCTTTTTGCTTGCTTTTATACTAAAAAAGAGGGCATCTAGCAAACACTGGGACATTCGCGAGGTTCCCTGATAAGTCATGATCCTTCTAGAAACTCCAGCGCACATGCTCCCAGAGTCGTGTGACTTCCGCTGTCGTAACAATATTATATAAGTTTGAATAAGCTAATTGCAAATTTTAATTGCACATTGTGTGTTTTCTTAGCAAAGCTTTATAGTTATGTTGCTCAGCAACTTTTAGAGGATAAAATAAGATAGTTGGGTGAAAAGAGAATGGGTAGGGAGAGATAGATAAGCAGTATAATCTTATTTTTTTAAACTTTTAGCATATGATCATGATGTTAGCAAATCCTGTTTTGTTCTGTTTGTCTTTAAGTAGAACGTTTTCTAGTCAAAGAGTGAAATATCCTCTTCAGTTGTAAGACTTTAGGATCAACAATACTCACATTGATTCTGCTGTTTATTTATGTGACATTTGAGTCACGGATATTTTTACCATGGTTCCACTGACTTTACCCACCACAGGTTTTGGCCACTGATATGTCAAAACACATGAATCTTCTTGCTGATTTGAAGACAATGGTGGAAACAAAGAAGATTGCTGGGACTGGAGGTGTTATTGTTCTGAACCACTATACAGAGAGGATTCAAGTAAGCTAAACGTTTTAGTGGTCTACTTCTTACTGGAGCAGTTTAACACTCTTTTCATCAGTGACAAAATAAGACCTGTATCACAGTGTTTCATAAGTAAAGGAGCAGTCCATATTAACCATAGATTTACCATTGGTTGCCCTACCAGTATTTCTAAACTACTTATGCATCAGAGATATAAAAGAGTGGTGTAATGAGGTCCTGGACACTAGTTTAAAAACAAGACAAGTCATTAATTTGAGAGTTAAGAATCGCTAATAAATTAACTAGTTTCTTCTTCAAAAGTTTAACTTCTAAGAAGTAAATTCACTTATGTTGTTCTAAGCTTGTTGACGTTCTAAGTCTTCACAAAAGCATTACCTAACCTCTTCTTACCCATGGTGACAATATAGGATGATCCCATTCTATACTATCTGTTTCTATCTAAACGCCTAAAGCTGGTAAAGCATTAGAAACCAACAGGCCTAAAATTGTTGGTAAAATCCATGTAAACTTGCAGTGATTATTATTTTTTCCATGTTCCTCTTACTTTATACATTTTGTATTCAAAATCAGAGGCATGTAAAAATAGTATTGCAGATCTGTGCTTTGTCTCTCACAAGTCCCTACCCAAGAAGCCTTTTGTTCAATAGCAGAACTTATTGATTGGGCTAAAGAATGAGATACAAAATATTGTATGAGACACTGTTTATACACACTATAATACCTTAAAAGTTACGGTTCGAATGAAACATTCTGGTATTGAAAGAAGAGCCTTTTCGGCAGTGACTTGCAGGAAACAAGTGATATATCTAGAATGATAATTTTACACAAACATGAAAAATATAAAATCATCTCCATTTAACGTGATTTTTTGTCACAAAATTTTGGCTTTTTGAACCAACTGCTTGATTTTTGAAAAATGTAATACACCATCATAATTTTTTATAGAAATTAAAAACAGCCTATTCTGAAATTTACATCTTAACTTGATCGAATTGTCTATAACAGTTTGACTGAAAGTTATTGGTTACTATGGTAACTGTGCAGGTCCTTCAGAACATGATCCATTGCTCTGACCTCAGCAATCCAACAAAACATCTAGAGCTTTATAAGAAGTGGGTGGATCGTCTTATGGAGGAGTTTTACCAGCAAGGGGACAAAGAACGAAGACAAGGATTAGACATTAGCCCGATGTGCGATCGGTACAACACCACCATTGAGAAGTCCCAGGTAAACTCTAGCTAAATGCATATGTCCATGTTAAGGTCTCTTTCCTTACCATAATGAAACACTTATGATTTTTCGTGTTTCATACCTGCTAATTGTCACAGTAGTAGATCAGGATATTTATAGTAATCTGATGTAAACCACAAACTCTCACTGTGTGTTATAACACCAGAATCTTAATCTTCATCATACCATTCGGTACTAGCTG